CACACACACACACACACACACACACACACACACACACACACACACACACACACACACCGCTGTTGGCGCGTGCACACGTGCAACAGGGCCACTGGGGATGGGGCATGTTTGGGATGGCTGCAGAGGGCGGGCAGACGCGGCGGTGGCCGGGCAACAGCAGATACGACGTTGCGGCCATGCTCAGGGCGATCACCGTACGTGGTAGCCTGCTCTGTGGTGCCAGACAATGGTATTGGCGGTTGTTTCCGGCGGAGGGGGTGGGGGACGGAGAAAAGAGACGGGTATTGCTGGGGATCCTTTTGTGTGTGTGTGTGTGTGTGTGTGTGTGTGTGTGTGTGTGTGTGTGTGTGTGTGTGTGTGTGTGTGTGTGTGCGTGTGAGTGTGCGTGTGAGTGTGCGTGTGAGTGTGTGTGTGTGTGTTCTTCTTGTTGCATCAGGGTCCTTGTTGCCTTACAATATGTCCTGTGGTCTCAACCACCCATGTGAATTTTTGTTGGTGACCCCATTTGCAGCAAGGCAGCAAACTGGACGCGTGCACGTGCCGTCTCTCCTACCAGTACGTTACCAGCGCACTGACTGACATACTCTCACATCCGTTGCGTCGTATTGCATCTCCTTGCACCCTATCGGCTCATCGCCCGCCTTCACACACACAAACTCACACACACACACACACGCACGCACACACACACACACACAGGCCAGCGTTTTCCGACTCGAACACGTGGGTTGATGTCGGCAGCGTGCCTGTGACATCCCTCATCGTTGCCAACCAGGCAAACTGGTGCTTTGCAAACAGATGCATCGACGCAAGTGAGCGACCATTCACCGTTGTGTGCGTGCGTGCGTGTGTGCTTGTGTGTGTGTGTGTGTGTGCGTGTGTGTGCGTGTGTGTGTGTGCGTTTGCCCCTTGTAACTGCATGAGCGCTGGTGTGTCGTGGTTGCATGCGAGTGTGCCGTCATGCTTATCGTGTGCGCTGCTTGTATCTTTGTACCGCCCCTGCTTCCCTGCCCACCTCACGGCTGTCTGTGGTTGTGTTGCCGTTCAGATCGGAACCGCAATGACCGGGCCATGACGCTGGCGTACACGCTGCAGGACCGCCCACACCCGTCAACCTTCACCATCCTCCGCAAGATTCGTGGCGTGAGTGACGCCATCTCAGAGCGCTCTGCACAACCATATGTACACAGCACACACGACTCCAACGTCCAGCCCCTAGCATGCAGTCACCCAAGTGTGCTCACTCACACACTCACTCACACACACGCACCCACTCACACACTCACACACACACACACAGACACACTCCCTCACTCACACTCACACACACTCACACACTCCCTCACTCACACTCACACACACTCACACACTCCCTCACTCACACACACACACACACACTCACACACTCACTCACTCACACTCACACACACACACTCACACACACACTCACTCACTCACTCACTCACTCGCTCACTCACTCACTCACAAAACACACAAACAGGGCGAGTCGTATGTGGACTTGGAGGGTGTTTCGTCGGTGAGCGTGCGTGCTGTCAAGGTTGACATTGAGATGCCTGCAGGCATGGAGGAGCCTGTACCGATCCCATCCACACCTGTCGCATCCAACGCAAGCACCAGCAGCATCAGCACCACCACCACCACCACCACCACCACCACCACAACGAAAGAGCAAGCGGCCGCGGCTCCAGAGGCCAGCAGTGCAGCAGAGGCCACCAGCAGCGGTGATGCAGAGCAGAATGGAGCGCAAAGTGGAGAGCAGCCCACGTCAGATGCTGCAGAGGAAGCAGCGGAGCCGGAGGAGGCGAATGAGCGCACACATGACGTGCTTGTGAGCCTGGACAACAGCCCGTACTACTCGCGGCCCGCGCAGATTACCCTGCTTCCCTCTCGTCTCACCTTCTACCTCCCCGCAAGCGAGTGAGTGAGTGAGAACGTCTGTGTGAACGTGTGTGTGTGTGTCTGTGTGTACGTGTGTGTGTAACTGTGTGTGTACGTATGTGAGTATGTGTGAATGTGTGTTTGTCGCGCGAACACACTCGTTTGAACTTGGCGGCGGGTGTGTGTGTGTGCTGATGAGTCATCATAATGGGCGGAGGCGAGAAAATCGGCGTCCAGCGATACGCTGGCGCTCCCCCGAAGCACCAAGCGAAATCGCTGACTTGCTCTCGTTGCGCCCCAAAAATAAAGAAATTCTTCTGGGCCAGCCACAAAATAGTTTTTTTTTTTCGTTTGTTTGTGTGTCTGTGTGTGGAGGAGACAACAGCGCCGTCACCAGATCATCATCATCCACACCAACCAACCAACGCCGCAAAGCAACAGCCAAGGCAAGCAACGAGAGCAAGCAGCGCAAAGGCGCAAAGCAAGGCACGGCTTGCTGGCTTGGTCCCAAAAGGCCACACACACACGCACACACACACACACACACAAGCAACATACCTGACACGGCACACATACACACACCACGAAGAAGGAGAACAACGAACAGACAGCCAACCAAGCACCGTCACCAACACTCCCCTCGCTCGCTCGATTGCTTGCCACATTTCTCGCACTCCTCTGCGTTTGTAGGACACACAACAACAACAACAACAAGAAACCCGCAGTCACACACGTTCCTCTCTCCCCCGTTTCTGGCGCTCTGTGCTGGTCTTGCCTTGCCTACTTTGGACACGAACAGCCCATCCCAGCCCACGCAAGCTGAGAGACGCCAACAGCGCCGCGCAGCGTTATATTTGTGATTAGGACTCCCCCTTGACATTTACCCTCGTTATTGCGACAAGCACACAGCCCGAAGGGTGAGTCATGCTGCTGCTGCTGCTTGTGCGCAAATGAGGCGGTGGTCGCGCACACTCGGCTTGCTGGCATGGCTGGAGGTTGTGTGTGTCTGTGTGTGTGTCTGTGTGTGTGTGTGACGGAGGTGGGAGGAGGAGGGGACAGTCACGCATGTACCTGAATGACGCTTGCGCCTGAATCACGAACCACCCTCTGTCATCCATCATCATCATCGTCAACCCTCCCGACCCTCGTGTGACATATGCACGCACTCACACCTTCTCGCTGCTCTCTCGACCATCCCACAGACACAAATACAAGCACACAACCCAACCCCAGCTGAGCGGCGACACACAACACCATCATGGCAGGACGCGGTGGCCAACAAATGAACCAGTTCAAGCTCGTCCTCCTCGGTGTGTGTGTGTGTCTGTCTGTCTGTCTGTCTGTCTGTGTTTGGTCGGGGCGCATGACACGTAGAACACGACGGCAAGAGAGAGGGAATGAACATCGTGTCATGCAAAGCAAGCAGGCTGTGACCCTTTCTCATTTAAGCATGGGCTCATTCGAATGTGGCTGCAGGCGAGACGGCCGTGGGCAAGTCCAGCCTTGTCCTGCGCTTTGTCAAGGGCCAATTTCAGGAGTATCAAGAAAGCACCATCGGAGGTATGCATGTGTGTGTGTCTGTGTGTGTCTGCGTGTGTGTATGTGATTATTCTGTGGTGCCGATATGTACCAGTTTTGTACCTGGCGACCGCCTTGCCCTCACACCCCGTCTTGGAACTCGTTCTGTCGACGTGATATGGTGTGCCTTGCTTCTGCAGCTGCCTTTTTGACACAGACGGTGTGCCTGGACGATGGCACCAAGGTCAAGTTTGAGATTTGGGACACAGCCGGCCAGGAGCGGTACCACAGCCTCGCCCCAATGTACTACCGCGGTGCACAGGTGCGTCATCATCTGTGCGTACATGTGTGTGTGTGTGCGTGTATGTATGTGTGTGTGTGTGTCTTTGTCTGTGACCCTGTTTGTGTTGCCGTATTGCTGCCTGCAACACCTCCCTCGCCCTACTCCACTCCACGCACACACATGCAAGCATGCGCTGCGATGCTGAACCCCAATTGACACCTCTCCGCCCCCCCCCACCTCATATTGGGTTGCTTGCGGCACAGGCTGCGATTGTGGTGTATGACATTACGAGCCACGCGTCGTTCCTGCGGGCGAAGAGCTGGGTGAAGGAGCTGCAGAAGCAGGCCGAGAACGTTGCCGTCATTGCTCTCGCCGGCAACAAGGCCGATCTTGCCGCTCGCCGCGAAGTCCAGACCGAGGTGCCCTGTCTATCTGGATGTATGTGTGTGTGTGTGTGTTTATGTACCTTTGTGTGTGCGCATGTGTGTGTTTATGTACCCTTGTGTGTGCGTGTGTTTATGTACCCTGTTGTGTGTGTTTTCCTTGATGTCTGTGCACACGCACATTTGTGTGCTTTGCCCGCCTGCATGCATGCATGCATGTCCTACTCGTGCCTCACACGTGCATGTGTGCGTGCATGTGTGTGCGTGTACACAGGAGGTTGAGGCGTATGCGCAGGAGGAGAAGCTGCTGTTTATGGAGACGTCTGCAAAGACCGCATTCAACGTTGTCGAGATCTTCGCCGCAATCGGTACGCCTGCTTTTCCGTGGTGTGTGAGTGTGTGTGTGTCTATGCCTTTGCCTGTGTGTTACTTCAAACGTGTTCAACTCCCCAGCTCTTCCCGTCTCGTTCAACCTGACCGTGTACATGCATGGGCATGTGCTCACCCGATACAATGTGGGGCATGATTGGCGCGTGTGCAGCGAAGCATCTGCCGAAGAACCAGGACACGCGGCGGGGTGACGGCGTCAACCTGCGACGAGCAGAGGCAGCAGAGGCAAAGAGCGGCGGCTGCTGCTGAACACATCCACACCTACACACACACACATCCACATCCACACACACACACACACACACACACACACACACACACACACACACACACACACACACACACGTGTTCACACACACGTTCACACACACGTTCACACCCATATGCAACAACAGCCACCAACAACAACGCCAACGACACCAACTTGCAACTTGAACGACAATGACTTCACATCAGGTCAAAACAACTACAACCGTTTCAGCAGCCACAGTTTGCAGTCATCATCGCCTTTTGCTTTTTAAATGTCGTGGGTGCTATTTTCCTTTTGTCTTTTCTTATCTTGTCTTGTCTCAGTCTTGTCTTGTCTCAGTCTTGTCTTGTCTTGTCTTGTCTTGCTTCCGGCTGCTGTTATGAAGCGACGCTGGTCGCGTGACTTAGGAGGGAAGACAGCGGTTGCGAACAGTGCACGTGCACGTACTGTCGTCGCTGTTGTTGCCGTTGTTGTTGTTGTTGTTGTTTGATACCATCGGGGATATGGCTTGTTGATGTCCTGTCGTCTCATCGGATTTGTGCCGCGTGCTGTTGGTTCTATGTCTCGTTCCTATGCACGCGCGTGTGTGTATGTACTTGCTTCCTCCCCCATTCTCCGTTCTCCTTCCTGTGGTGTTCGCCTCGCAGTTCCTTGCGATTGCTTTGTTTGGAAGGTTGTTGTGTGTACTGGTCTACTTACGCCCTTGCTGCTGTTTTGTTCTTTTCCATGTTGTCGCATTGCTGTTGGGTGAGTGTGTGGTGCATTGATGTGTGTGTGTGCGTGTGTGCGTGACATCAAACACTGCTAGAGTAAACGAGGAACCTTCAACACAGCATGAGTGGCTGCTCATCAGGGGAAGGGAGGGAGAGAGAGAGAGAGAGAGAGAGAGAGAGAGAGAGAGAGAGAGAGGGAGTTGACGCACACACACACACCATCTGCCAGGTTTGGATGATTGATTGGTGTTATGGCAAATATTCTCCGCGCCATGGGCAACAACACACGGCGCGCAAGCAGCGAAAAGCCAACCACAGCAACACACACAAACCCCCACAACAACGGCAGCAAGCTGGAAGGTGTGTGTGTGTGTGTGTGCGGTGTGCGAGGGGGTGCGGACACGGGCACCATCACTGGCATGTGTGTCAAGCTGCCTGAGGCTTGCGATTTGTATGTGTCGTCGTCCTCGTTTGCGGTTTGCGGTTGTTTGCGTGGTGAAGCGGTACAGGTGTCCACCCCCTCCCACATCATCAACGATGCACTGAACTCGAGCTCACCACCACCAACATCACATGCATATCCACTCTCACTCATGTGTGTGTGTGCTTTTGCATCAGGCTCCGGCAGTGTGCTGCGCATTCGCTTGCCTGACATGCCTCCCAGCACCATGGCAACACCACCAGCGGACGCTAGCGACAAAGTGTCGAGCCGGTACCAGCGCCAGTTGCGTCGACACTCGCGCCGTGTGTCGTCTACACCATCCCGCAAGGGAAACAAAGGTATGCGACACCACCCAGCCTTTAACAGGAAAACTCAGCAGGCACCAGTAACATGCGGAGATCACGCTCATATGCGCGCACAAATAGTCTTCCTCTCACACGCTCCCTCTCACTTGCCCGTGCACACGCGCACACGTGCACACACTGTCGTGTCGACACACTACCCGTTGCACTCCAACGTCAACGCAGGCGCTGCATCGAGGAGCCGTAGTCGAAGTCCCCTCTCCAAACACAAACGCCCATCGACCAGACGAAAGACACGAGTTCGGTAGGCCCAACACCTTCATAGTGCAACCAAATACAGTACTTGCCACTGCCGGATGTGCGTGCCTGCCTGCGATATGTATTTTGTGTCTGTGTGTGTGTGTGTGCGATGTGTGCGATTTGTGCATGTGCTTGTGTGTTGTGTGTTACCCAGCACTGACACTGTTGTGCCTGGACTGCGTTCATTGCATAGGGATGAGAGCGATGATGAGTACAGACCGGATGGTACAGATGATGAAGACGAGGTGCACGACGACGACGAAGACGGCAATGCCGACGCGACGGACGACGAGGCTCGCACGCCAAGAACGCGAAGCAGAACAGGGTGTGTGTGTGCGTGTGTGTGTGTGTGTGTGTGTGCGTGCGTGTCGGATCACCTGCACCTGCCTTTGTTCTCTCCTCCCTGAGACATGCTCGCTGCTCTGCTTCGCTTGTCTTCCCTAACCCCAACACGCACGCTTACACATGCACCCATGTACCATTCCTGGGCACACTATTCTGCGCTGCGTGTTTGGCACGCTGCTCCAGTCGACGTGGCAACCTGTCGCTCCGGCTCCGCCTGCCACCGGCACGAACACGTGCACACGCGCAAGACGACGATGACAACGATGATGCCGACAGTGGCGAGGATAACGACGATGATGAGGATGGAGAAGGTGGTAGTGGTGGCGATGGCGATGATGATGGCAGTGATGGTCGCGCGCCTCGCACTCGCCGCCAGTCATCATCGTCGACACCCCGCAGTGCACGCAAGAACAGCAGCAGCACCGGTGGTGGCAGCAGCAGGCGTGCCAGCAAAGGCACGAAGCCACGGTCAAAAGCAGCAGCAGCGGCAGCGTCGTCGTCGTCGTCGTCCAAACCCACGTCAAAGCACAACAAAGGTGGAGGTGATTCCAAGGCCGACAGCAAGAAGCGCAAAGGCGGCACTTCGACAGATGACACGAATGATGGCTCCACGCAGGTGTTCAGGTGAGCACTTGCTTATCTTTGGCTTTGGCTTTGCGTGTGCGTGTGTGTGTGTGTGTGTGTGTGTGTGTGTGTGTCTGTATCTATGTGTGTGTGTGTGTGTGTTCTGTCTTGTGGCATGACTGCTGGCCGTTCCGTCACCTTCTACAGCTCACATAATAGCACCCGCATGGCCGCACGTTTTGTTGTTGTTGTTGTTGTTGTTGTTGTTGTTGTTGTTGTTGTTGTTGTTGTTGTTGTTGTTGTTGTATTTGTTGTTGTTGTTGTTGTTGTTGTTGTTGTTGTTGTTGTTGTTGTTGCTGTTGTTGTTGTTGATGTTGTGTGCTGATGTAGTATTTGTGATGCTGTTGTGTGATGTGTTGCTGTGTGTGTTGTGCCGCTGCTGCTGCTGATGTTGTGTTGT